CCTAAAGGAAATGAATAAGTGAAACACGTGAAAGAGAAATGACACCACTGAGATGCTCTCTTGCCTTCAGGGAACCTTCCTCACTTTCTCTCTCCTTTGTAAAATGATTAATGGATTGATTTCATTTAAACTATGGGAAACAAATGAAACCATGAAGATGTTTGTATTTAAAGCTAATACATTAATAGAGGTAGAGAAGCTTTCTGTAGGCCACATGGCCTGCCCTTAGCCCATAAATGCTCCTTCTGACTTCCCAACACAACTGCCAAACACTGCCTCCACACGTTCTTTTTAAAAGTTCTTTTCCATCCCAAATCCACTTGGTGCTTTCATCATGGTCTTGTTAAAATTGCAAGATGTCCACTGGGGCTTGCAAGATAGATTTTCTCTTTATTGAGGAGGAGCAAAAGAGGAAGTATATAAAAGCTTTTCTTTTTGTTACTCCTTCAGGGAGTCATATTAAAGAAAAATAGTGACACTTCTGTAGGAAGAATATCTTTTAATTTGACATTGTTTTAATGGTGAGCATTTGGGGCAAGTGTGTATGTGTTTCCTTTATTTTAGCACCTTGCACAACATCCCGGATAGGACTAATGGGACAGATAGTATTATTTTATTTACATGTGGAACAAATAAGTGAATGTACCTGCAAAATATATGCTGATCATGGGCTTCATGTAAGTGCAGACATGCACTTATGATTTGGACTCTTAGAATTAGGTCAGTTTTACCCACTTTTGTATGTCTATTGTATTTTCTCTAGACAAGTTACTGTGGGAATCCGGTAACTCTTTCCCTATATTCTTATAAATGAGTACAAGACATTTTGGGGGCTTGATAACTCATTTTCTGTGTTCCTAGATGTAGACACATGCTTGAAAGTGGTAAAAACTTACCAGTGACAAACCTCGTTGCCAGCATGACCCATCCTAACTGCATGATCCTTCCCTCCCTCTCTCTCTATCCCTTTGCTTAGAAGTATAAAGACCAGCAAGGCATGGTCTTGGGGATGGACTGACAGGCCCCGAACACTCGTGCCCACAAGCAGGGACACAAAATTTGTGAATTACACCTTCAAATTATTTTTCTCTTCTAGATCTTGAATTTGCCTGAGCTGATTGATGATTCCATGTATAGAACTAACCACCTTCGGGTACAGAACAGAAATGAGCTTATTAAAATACTGTCTACACGGTAAGCTTGGCTCTGCTATTTGTACATTGCAGAATTAATATGTCATTAGCATTTATCTGGTATTTTGTGGTGTTCCTTTTGGCTTATTTACATTAACTTATTATTTTTCATTTCACAAAACTGGTTAGTGGAAATATATTTTAAAGCTATGTTGTTCTTTCTTGAAAGCATTTTATATGTCTTATTAAGTACTGAATCATAACGATGATATAAATAAGAAAGTCATAATTACTTAAATTTCATTTCTTCTCTGGGCCATGTATGTGTTTGGGTTTAGTCTGCCATAAATACTACAATAATAATTTAACATCTTTGTGTTACATTTACGGTAGTAAATGCTCACATACTTGACCTCGTTTAACTCTTACAATCATTCTGTAAGTTCTGTTATTCCCATTTTACAGGGAAGGAAACTGAGACAAGGGAGGTTCAGTCAAGAGTTTGCTGGCTTTTCTGAGCCTCCCCTGCGTAGCTTGTGATTATGATGTTTTGAAAACTGAGTTATGGGTCATAAAGTATTAATGCTAATCAATTAGAGCATTTGATTGCCAAATTATTCCATCCAT